GTAAAGGACAGACTTTTTCATATTAGCTTCATACTGTCCACCTTATATGACTATCAGGAGCATGGGTCACATAAAGCAAGGGTACCTGAGAACTAAAAAGCTGATTTTTTTATTGTGATGCAGGTTACTTTCTCCATGTGTTTGAAGAAAGTTTTTTTTGTTTGAAGAAAGTTTTCATGTTTAAAAAATATTTAGTATTTTTTTAATAAACTATCAATGGTGAAAAGAGTAGTAAAGTATTTTTAATAACACAGCTCTGTTTCACATTTGGTTTTTTTTTGCAGAACTTTGGAATGATATATCCAGAACAACTTCATTCTTATTTTTAAACGAGAGTACACTCTGTTTAGAAGAAGTATATGGACCACATATAGAAACACTCCACTCCTGGTTGGTATAATTTTCCTTCTGTACGTGAGTGGAAAACACCTTTGCAGTGATAGGCAATGGCTCCCCATATGTTGTACACTAATGAATCACTGACTGGTGAAATGAATCGTTTGACTGGTCAAATAAATCTTTGGAAAATTAAGCCAGTAACTAAATCTCAGTTTCTTATCTTCTTCCTGAGAGATAGGTTAATGTCAGGGCAGCGTGGTCAAAATACATGCAATTCAGCATTTCCCCTTAAATTTGCAAATTTAAAATTGCAAAAACCCATGCATCCCATGGAAGCATTGCCACTGTCCCTACAACCCCAGCTAGTACACAGTAAGGTACCACTTACAAGTAGGGTCCATTATGAACCCCTCTGGTGCTTAGCAGCACCTGAGCTGCCTACAGCAACGTCTTGGCAGCAGCACACAAGCCACTGTTGAGTAGTAGTGTAGTAGTAGCCACAAAACAGCTGGATTACACAAATCTCGCTGGTTAACATCTGCAATGGCTTTAGCTACTATGAAGAACAGTAAATTTCCTTAACAAAACCTGAATGTGAATAATTTTTACATGAGTAAGACTTACCCAACTACTGTAAAAGCCAACCAAAACCTACTTTTCTACAGATTGCCGTGCCTGGCTGTGCTGCCTCCCAGGGCCCTGGAAGCTATGCAGGGCAGTCTCCCCTTCCCCACAGAACATCAGTCTATGGTACCAGCTATAAATTCTTTGTATGGTAAATGAACCAAATTGAGTTAATACAAAGTTACAAAATATTCCCCTGTATATGCTAAATACTCTGCATGTTCCACTTTCAGAATGAATGCATTCTAAAAAAACATATAGACGTAACTCCTAAATCGCTAATATATTTATACTGTTTTTTTCAGCTATGAGTAAAGTTATATTTGGACAGGTTTAGAGTAATAATGATTTCTTTGTGGTAATTTTGATTTCAAATTTACTTGTGGTTTTGCACTCAGCTGATAGCACTTAACCCTCACACCACTGAAACTCCTTCAGCAATCAAGACTCCAGCCCATACCTGGAAATACTTCCTGTGCAACAACAGGAGCGGACAGGGGTATCAGTAATGACTCATCTGGGTCAACTTCAGTGGAAAGAACTGTGTATTACAGAACTCCTGAGGCCGCAGATATGACTGGTGTCTTTTCCACCCTCCCTCTGTGAAAGCTGGTACAAGGTTTGGTACTGAAGGCATAGGGTGAGACACAGGGATTTGTTTTCTGAGGCTTTGCCAGAACTCGGAGATTTCCTTGCAGGAGTTGAGCAGAACTTGGAGGTTTCCTTGCAGGAGTTGAGCAAAGTCCTCGATGCAGTGCCATGCTCTCCTTTAGCACTGATCACCAGTGCACTTTGTATTAAAAAGACCAAATAGGAAACACTGCTACTTCTAGTAGGTTTATTAACATTACACTGTGTCTTTTAATATAAACTTTAAGAAGTTCTAATACAACCAATAAAACCCACTTCAGCACCTTCTTACCACAATAAGAGCAAGAGAAAATTGGTACTTTAAACAAAGAACTTCATAAAGTGCATATGAAAACTGCAGTCAAATAAACAATTTAAATTGATGCTTGTTCTACCAACAAAGAAAGAGGTGAACATTCTAATGAACAAATTAACTTCTATGCCAGAATCAGAAGTGCCTTTCAGTTCAGTAGTTTGGTCCAGTGCAGTTCTTTTTTTTTTTTTTTTTTAAAAAAAGGGAAAAAAAAAGGAACAAAACCAAAAAAGCAACAAAAACCCCAAAACAAAGAATATATAAAAAGAAGTGTTTCCCACAAACAAGTCCAGCATTCTTTGTCCACCTTAAAAGTAATAGGACCTAAAAAGCACCAAATTCATAAAATCTGCAATAACATTCTTCAAATAGGCCCACAAATTCATACATTTAAATCTAGTTAAATGCAAAAAAAAATCCCCTACCCCCAAACCCACCTTGTTACATATTCACATCAACTGCAGCACAAAATATAATTATTGAAATAATAAGAGAAGAAAACAAAAGTCTGCTTTCTAGCAATAACTAGTGCATTGACTTTTGAATGTTCTGTTCTTCAGTGCAAACATAGCCTTACGCCTCCCTCCCATCTCCAGCTCAGAAGTGTGATGGGTGCCCATACTGGTTCACTCCTGGCTGTGGCTGGTTACCTGGTGGATAAAGCAAAGGGAAGTGATATTGCCTCACAGCTGCGTTCCACAGCAGTACAGAAAACATGGGTGTTTCATGCAGCAGTAGCTGACTTAACAGTCACGGCACTCCCTTACACACCTAACACACACCAGAGGTGCTCAGTTCCCTGGGGACTTTGCCTGTGTTAGGATTGTAGGAGGAGAAAACGTGGTAAATCATGACAAGGCCACCAGCACCTGTCCTGCAGGTGACCCGAGTTCCTCTGGAGACCAGCCTGTGGGATGCACTAGCACCAGAATTTTGGTATTGCATCATTGCTGGGATGGGTAACCAGCTGTCAGCAGCTAAATTTCTTACACATATATATGGCAGCATTTAAATAAGCAGAACACCTCCAGAAAGATAATTCCACATTCAAATATACCTATGTATCTACATACATCTATATAAGCGTGCATCTCACGTACTGGAGAGCTGCTTCTGGAGCTGCCTGACCAGCGCGGCTGTCTGTTGTTGCTGCTGTGTCTGCTGTAAGCCTTGCCTTGGAAACTGCAAAAGAAACATGAAAGAAGAAATAAATAGGCGCGGTGTTAAGTTCTGTGTCAGGTAACTGCAGAGGAGTTCAGCTTGTCTGACCCATTGGCTGCTGACAGAGCCCTCCCTGGACATGGGGCTGCAGACAGCAGATGTTTCTCCACAGTGGGCCCTGCCTGGCTTCTAACAGCACAGCAAGGACACATGGAACACACTTGGAGCTTCCAGAGCATTTGTTCTGCTTAGTCCCTTAGACAGCAAGATGTGTGAGATCTCGCACATTTCCAGCTGTATTACAAGTGTCACATGTCCAGCTGGGTAAAGCGGACAGAGTCAGTCTCTGTCTCTTCCAGTTCTGAGGATGCCAGTCACCCTAGGCAGCTTTACTGTCTGCATTGTGCAAAGGCAAGTCAAATCAAATTAACAGCCTTTTTTAGCATTTTTAAACACTTACGTGTACTTGAAACAGTCAAAAAGAGGCTTCTAGAGAAACATTTTCCCCACGGCAGTGGCACTTCAGATGTGAGGAAGGGTAAGCTTTCCATGCTTCTGGCTGTCATTCAGGAAAAAACTCATTCTCCATTAACAACTTCTGTTGATCATCAACATGTATGTCAGAGCACTGAATATACTGCACACCACACTACTGAGGTATGACAGATCGACATGGCACAGATCATCTGTGTGTGCCATAGAGATGGACACCTCTGGGGGTAGAGGTCTGTGTATAGAACCAGCACTTCTTCCCTTGGAAAATATGTCACCCATGTGAAAGAAGAATGTCTGTGCACCGGGTACCGCAGACTCCAGAGGGCAGAGCACTGAGGGCACAGCTCCCCAGTGCTTATCTGCTCCTGGGAGGGAAATCGTGACCACTACAGGCACTGTTGTACTGGGAGGCACAGACCAGACCAAGCCTCCACCACATACTGTCTTGCCAATCCCCAGGGCCTCTCAGCTCTCTAGATCTGTCTTCCACATTCCAGAATTTTCCTTCTCATTAGATCTGGTAAAAATGCTTCTAATGAAGTAACATTTTATGCTTCTGCACAAGGATACACAATTACCTGACTAGTGTGAAAACCTGATGTATTGAATAAAACTGGAGTTATTCAATATTCTAATAACATCATACACACCACAGAAAACGCCCATGCTGTGTTTCAGTGAAACCTTTTGCTTACTGAAGGGAGTTTCAGTGTTTTATGAGATTTCAGCATTTTTTCCCTTTCTAAAACCAAATCCTTTACTTAGAATACATTGTGTAATCTTCTGGCTAACAGTCCTTAGTAAATGCTGAGGTTAGTCAAAAGCATTAACCACCTCAGGGTTTCTTGCACTTACAAGCTGCCTCCAAATTTCTCTATCACATCCTGTTGATTAATGCTTTTAAACTCAGAAACTAGCACTTTCAGCATAACTGTATTCTCCATTTTTCTACAGCAAACTTTCTCTAGTTATCTTCACCTACCTTAGATTTGTCTGGAAAAACTGCCCAAATAGGGGAAACAAGCATAATGACACTGTAAATTCAGTGGACGTGTCCATAATAATCATTTGGTACCAATAGTGATTGGTAATATCACTCATTAAACTATAAAAGGCTCCAGTTCAGCATAAAGGAGTGTCTCAAAAGTAATTTTGTTTGCGCAGCTGTCTTCATGCAGCTCTGTTTTATTCCTAATGATTAAATTTTAAAGGATCTTCAAACAACAAACCCCATTTTTCCTCAGACTGTTAGCAGTACAACCGAAAAATCAGAGGCCTAAAGTCATTAATGGTCTCCTGTGACACGAGCCAAGGCCAGACTGGAGCCTGGCAGCGGTGCAGCTGCCAGTGTCCACACTTGACACCAGAGGGAGCGTGGATGCTCCTCCAGACATAGCAACGTGGAGAAACGCCACCACCAGCACCCTGCATTTCCAAGTGAATGCTTTTCCTAGTGTTACAGCAGAAACTACTTCCACATGTAGCCTCAGTTGTAGACAACTGCCCTGCTTTCACTTCAAAATATCACAACTACAGAAAAATCCATCAGTTTATATGCATCAGAAGCAACTACAGGTATTTCTTACCAAGTTTAAGGTTTTTAAGTTAGCAAGGGCTATTCATCATTATGATGACATTAATTAGGAAAACTTATAAAACCACATAGCACAGCAAGCATAAAGGGAAGAAATTGTTCCTGCAGTCTCGGCCTGCTGCTTTGGGACTACTGAAAAGTATCATTAGACCCCCAGAAAAAGAGATTCCTGACTTTCCAGGGGGGCTTAACAGCACTTGGTTCTGTATCAGATTTTCAAAACAGTCCTTTATTTATACTGCACTAGGAGTAAGAGCGAGGATGACTTTAAGGTCTCTCATTGTTTTCCCCTCTGAGTTCACACAAATAGATTTAAGGTAGCTAGTCTGGACAGTCTTATTTTCCTAGTGACAAAAGAGACACACAGAATTAGAAACACATCAGTACCCTTTTTTTTTTTTTTACTATATCCCCAGGTAACTCTCAGAAGAACTGCAATGGATGGTTATCTGTATCATCTGGGATATTAGCCACCAGTATTGACTAGTTTTAAGTCAATACTGCTAGGTGCAACTTCAAAAAAGATATGTTGAAATGAAACATTTGAACTTTTCCTACACATACGCAGAGCTTTTTTCAACCAAAACAACACGTCATCATTGGCCCAACTTTGGTATCAGTTTTGACCAAACTGGTGAATGAAGCATGGCAGTGCAGGAGACAGCTTGTGCTCCAGTCCTAGAAGGAGTGTCTTTGGGCAGCAAACTCAACCACGCTGTGGCAGAGCCACTGTGGGTGAGCAGGGCAGTGCACATGCCCTCCTTGCCAAGGCCTGCATACAAAGCAGCACCTGCCTCCCCATCTGAGCTCAGCAGTGTGACACCTCAGCACATGTGCAACCCACTTCGTGCCATGTTTTGGCAAGATGGATGCACTTCCATGGTTTTCTGTGGACAGATGCAGTCTGCTCCAGCCCATAGTCAGAGCCAGCCAGGAGCTCCCCAGATACACTAGAGGCTATTGAGCCCCAACTAATACACTGTTATCACAGCTGCAGCTTGCAGCCAGCTCAAGACGCAGCAAAACGGGCCTGTCACCACCTGCACTGGGCACCCACCCATCCTGCCTTCAGAGCGGTGGAGGAATGGCACTGCAGGCAGCAGCACTGGCATGCAGGCAACGGTGCAGGGAAGTTTGCACAAACCTCATCTCCCAGGCTGCCATGCTGCTGTAAGTGACAAACCCCACTCTGCCACTACCCTTGCACCCCCCAAAATATCCGTCAGTTGCCTCTGCTTACCAAAGGCTGCTGTGGTTGCACGGGCTGGAGACCAAGTGCCTGCTGCTGCCCTGGCTGCTGCTGCAACTGAGAGACAACAGGCATTGAAAAATCATAAAAATAAGAAATATGGGGAGAGACTTCTTAGCAGGGCCTGTTGCAATAGGATGAGGGGTGATGGTTTTAAACTAAAAGAGAGGAGATTCTGGCTGGATGTGAGGAAGAAATTTTTTAAGGTCCCTTCCAACCCATACTAATCTATAATGCTATGATTGAAACAAGAATGACCCAGCACACACACTGCCTCAGGGAACAACTACGAGCCAGGCAGTGTGGCTTTTCATGACTGATTTCCAGCACAAGATCTTGGCTTGCTAACAGCACTGGTTACTGAAGGCCCCATTTAGGAGATCAGCCTCACAGCTCCCCACTTTCATTGTCAGCCACACCAAGGCTGACAAGGAGCTTTGTTAATAGAAAAAAAAAAAACAACAATAACCTTAAACCCTGGTATATTTAGTTTACTACAACACAAAAATATTTATATAAAGGACATTATCATTGGACAAGAACTGGCACAGACAGCTATTGCATTTAAATGACAACATGAACCTAATCAAAGGGCTACAGGAAGGATTTTAATGTAACATACTTCCCCTGTGCCAAGCCCTATATATTTAGGCGATAAACTGATACTTGCCTCTGAATTAAAAATATATCAGCAAATCAGAATATAGGAAACAGGCCAGGAAGCAAACCCTTTGGTTTAATTGGCATACATTATAAGGCCAGATAGCACAGCCACTGCTTTTGTCTCAGCACATTCAGCTAAGCCATTCTCAAATTTACCTTCTCCAAAGGCATTCTACAATCTTGAAAAATGAAAGTACTGTATTTTACATCTGTCCAGAATTCTCTTTTGGAAATTCCAAATGTAAACAATGTATTACTGTACTCAAGTAAAAGTTCTATGATTCTATGATTTACGGCACCAGGCTCTGATGCTTTTAGACTTAAAGGCACGTGCAAGTGTGTAACACTGTCACCTGATACAGTCACATTTACACTCCCCTCCTGCACTGAAATACCCCTTATCACCAGTGCAGCCAAATCCCTCACCTGAAAGAGTCTCTGCTGTCGCATCTGCTGCTGTCTCTGTCTCACTGGCTCCGGAGGCAGCTGTACTGAATTCAGGGTTGGATGAGGACTTGCGGTCATTGCACTGTCCAGTCCCCCTCCAACCAGTGAATTTGGCTGCAAAGGCTGATGGCTCAATCTGATTGAGGAAAAATATAATGGATTATACTTCATTTACAGACCAAACACAAGTTAGTCTAGGAGTACCCAACTATAAACTGCAACATTAGACTTCCATGGATCTAAAAGACACTACATTTTACAGGAAGAATGTATTTCCAAATCTGAATACTTTGAACAACATTCCATAACAGAAACTGTACCATGCTATTGCTCAGTTACTGATTTACATAATAACATGTTTCTCTAAACAAGAACAGATCCAAGCACTCAATTCTTGCTTTACTAGGGAGAGTGATGACTTTCTACATTTCAAGCAAGAATTCCACATAAGCATTAAAATGTTCTCCAGACCAAAATGTCTCATAGTTACATTACCATGAATTTAAAATCAGCCATCACAAGGTGGTCTTTTTACTTTCTAAAATACTGAAAAAACACACCAAGCAAAAAATACTTTCTTTGGATCTTTTGGGAGTAATTAACATCGACAAAGCAGAAAGACATACACGGAGAGAACGTTAGCTAGCTTGCAATTTATCTTGCCTGTTTATAAAACTAAGAAAAGAGAAGGCAGTTCAGGTTAGCAGCTGTATTCCTAATGCAAGGCACCTGTAGGTTTTCATGCAAGGCTTTCAACCACAGCTTTCTGTAGGTTTTCATACAAGGTTTTCAAACAAGTCAAGGCCAAACTTTTTGAAGAGGTACAAATGTCCCAAATTGAACATGCTCTTAAGATATCCAGGCTTGCAAGAACTTAAAAGAAGTTAAGGATTATTGCAGAATATACAGTAACACAATTCCAGAAACACTGATTTCATTAAATAACAAGGATTGCGAGAGTATTGCATAGCTACATACATGATGCTCATATTCTGCTTACAACAAGCAAATCATCCAAGCACACTTGAACTTAGCATCTAAAGGAGACTTTAGTTTTGGGATCAGAGCTGAAGCAGAAAAAGAAGAGTATCTGTACTTGGTAACATCAGGGGTACTGCAGAATGAATGGCAAAGAAGAAGGGAGACAGGCCAGAAGCTCTGCTGACAGGCCAGACCACGTTCTGATGACCAACGTCTATGTGCTTCTGTGCTGTTCAGTGAACCTGTGACCCACACATGGGGAGAGGGCTGCATTGCACAGCAGCTACTTCACCTACAGCTGGACGGTGCCTACTGAGGCAGACCTTGCAAATTTTGACTTCACACATACACACACCACACTCTCTTTAATTTGAGCCTGTGGCTTTTGGGAGTCACTCTATTGAACATGTCTATTCAAAATGGAAATTTCTGGTTCAGACCTGTAGTGTCAGTTCAACAACACCAGACTATTAGAAAAAAAAACCCAAAACCAAACAACATACTTGATTCAAGATTGCAATTGGAAACTCCAGTTTTCCACTCTGCTTACTCTGTAACACTCTCTTTTACAGATTTCTTTCCTGCTTAATTTGTCTTCTCTTTCATTACATTTCTTTATCAATGAATTTTTCCTGTTTCTCATAGGCACTGCAACTCAGCTACTTCCAAACTGAAGTCAATTTAGTCTATTCAGGCTTAAACAAAATTTATTTGTCTATTGCTAGTTAAACTACCAAGTTGTTCTTACATTTTCCTGACTACAGACCCTTTGGTAAACCTGCAATATTTATGATGTAATACCACACACATTAGCATAATATGGATACCATATTTGTGTGTGTAGTGAAATAGGATCCAACAGCTAACTTTAGATAGATTTTTATGTTCTACAAACACACAGGATAATTGGGCTACAACACGTGCCAAGACCAACTTAAAATTAAATGAGGGAAAAAACAAGGGGAAATTGGAGAGAAAGGCCTATTGCTAATCAGACCAGTGTTAACTTCATTTGGATTAATACACTTTATTTTAAATAAAGTTTTAGACCTCAAAACAAAGTTGCCATTAAAATCCTGCAGTGTTACCAGCTGGGAGAACTGCAGAAGCTCACCGTTGCGAGCCTGCCAAAGGCTGGACATAGGCAGCTGCCTGCTGTTGGATGTATCCGCTGGGCTGCTGCTGCATCTGCCGCAGCCTTTCCATCAGAGTGGGGCTGGAATGCGCTGCTGAGTATGTTCGAGGGTTGTAGCTGGGGGAGAGCACTACACCGCCAGGCTGCTGCTGCTGCAAAGGCATCTGAGTGCTGTACATGGTGTATCCATGAGGCATGCTCTGCAGGGAGACAGACAGGAAAGTGACTTCGCTGTGCCCCTATTTAAATTAGCCTAACTACTAAAGAAAGAGACCATCCTGGCCCTTCTCAAAGTACCAAAGCCTTGACAACCAGAGGCAAGTCAGTGAGATGCACTGCTGCACCTACAAACTGACCTGTGGGTCCCTCACTCTGGCTGTACCCCACTTCTGTTTGTGGGTTCAGGCAGCTACAATGTGGTCACACACCGCAGGATGGAACCCACACCGTGCTACCCTTCCCCGAGTGGCACTGAGCAGGAGCGGGGTTCTGCTCCACAGCCCCACCTCTCTCTCCATTTCCCATCCCCAAATGACCTCTATACCAGGTGTATCATATGCCTGCATACAAACGCATGTAGTATGGGGAATAAACAAGAGAAACTGGAGATGTGTGCACATCTATAGGGATATGATATCACTGGCATCACAGAAACATGGTGGGATGGCTCCTATGACTGCAGTGCTGGAATGGAAAGTTATAGGCTCTTTAGGAAAGACATGCAGATGGTAAGGGGATGTAGCAATTTATGTCAATGATAGGCTGGAGAGTACGGACCTCTATCTGGGGAGAGGTGACGAGTCAACAGAGAGTTTGGGGGACAGGGTCAAAGGGAGAACTGCGATGGGGGGCATTACTGAAGGTGTTTAGTACAGGACTCCTGATGAGGAGGACTGTGTGAATGAAGCCCTCTAAGACAGATAGGAGCAGCTTCATGCTTGCAGGCCCTTGTCCTCATGGGGGGCTTCAACCACTCTGACATCTATTGGAGGTATTGTACAGTCCAGCACAAGTAACCGAGGAGGTTCCTTGATTGTGTGAAAGACAACCTCCTCCTGCAAGTAATAGAGGAGCTGACAAGGAG